GCCATGCATCCATAAGAAAATTTTGTTTCCAGAAATGCTTTTGAGAGGAATCCTCAACTTAACATTTCAGCATTCTACCATCAGAACTGGTTTCCTTGGAGAAAAAGTGTGGGTTATGAAAGAATGCAGATCTCTTGGTTGAACTAATGATATTATTAGCATTTTTTAAAAGATTTTACGCATTTATTCATGAGAGATGCACACACACACAGAGACAGAGACAAAGAGAGAGAGAGAGAGAGAGAGAGAGAGAGACAGACAGAGGGAGAAGCAGGTTCCATGCAAAGGAGCCCGATGTAGGACTTGATCCCAAGTCCCCAGGATCATACCCTGGGCTGCAGGCGGCGCCAAAACGCTGCGCCACCGGGGCGGCCCCTAGCATTTTAAAAATTTATTTATTTATTTATTTATTTATTTATTTATTTATTTATGAGAGACAGAGAGAGAGAGATTGAGAAAGGCAGAGACACAGGAGGAGGGAGAAGCAAGCTCCATGCAGGGAGCCTGATGTGGGACTCAATACCGGGTCTCCAGGATCATGCCCGGGGCTGAAGGCAGCGCTAAACCGCTGAGCCACCCAGGCTGCCCCTATTATTAGCATTTTTTAATGAAACTATCAAATTTGTTACAATCTGCCATGCTGTTTAAAAATCTTATTTGCGGGGATCCCTGGGTGGCTCAGAACTTTGGCCCAGGGCGCGATCCTGGATTCCCGGGATCAAGTCCCACGGCGGGCTCCCGGGGTGGAGCCTGCTTCTCCCTCCTCCTGTGTCTCTGCCTTTCTCAATCTCTCTCTCTATGTCTATCATAAATAAATAAATAAATAAATAAATAAATAAATAAATAAATAAATCAATCTTAAAAAAAAACATGTGCTTTCTTTCAAGGACATTGGCTTTGCAGGCTAGAGGACAGAATCTAGTAATTAACTCCCGTGTTAGCATAAATGACCATATCCTGATGGAATTCCTGCACCCACACAAGCTCTCAAATAGACCAGGATCATATAATTAATATTACAAAATTGCTGACTATGTATTTATCTTGGTTAGGAATCCTTGCCTCTTCGTTTACACTTCTTGAAGATATCTTTAGTTAGCTAGCAGGGTTTTGAGAATTTTTCAAAAGAAGCTCCACGTTACTTAACTCCATTGCAAACATAGATATGTACCCTTTTATGGGGAGAGTTGGGAAGAGTGGAGAAAGAGAATATAACACAATCAAATAAACAATGACATTTTGCAAGTCCTGAAAGGTAGACTTCCTACGGTACTATCTGATTGGTTCATTTGCATCCAATAAAGCAGCTTGGACTAGACTGAACTGTTTCATATTGTATGCTTTGTCTCTCACCATTCTAATCTTTTGCTGGTAGAGAGCAGCAATAGCGCCTAACTTTTCTTTTATAAAATGGTATAAACAGTTTGGAATATAGTTTGGCAGACTCTTAAAAAGTTAAATAGCCCTGAAGAAAAAAAAAAGAGTAGGTAAAAACTAATGAAATTTGAATAAAATATGGACTTTAGTTAATGATAATATATCAATTTTGGTTCATTATGTAATAAATGTAACACAGTAACTTAAGATGTTAATAACAAGGAAAGCTGGGTATGGGGTATGTAGGAACTCTCTATACTATCTGCTATGGACTCCATGTTTGTAGCCCTTTTCACTAGCAAACATTCATATATTGAAATTTTAACTTTTAATATGATAGTGTTAAAAGTTGGGGCTTTGGGGAAGGTGATTAGGTCATGAGAGAGGAGCCCTAATTAATGGGATTAGTGCCCTTACAAAAGAAACTCAGAGTTCTCTCACCTTTCCATCATGTGAGGACATGTGAGGGTATAGTGAGAAGATGATCATCTATGAATGAGGAAGTAGGCTCTCATCAGACATTAAATCTGCTGGTACCTTGATCTTGAACTTTTCAGTCTCCAGAACCAGAAGAAATAAATATTTGTTGTTTAAGCTACCTCGTCTATAGAATTTTTGTTATAGCAGCCCAAGCAGACTAAGATCTCACCTTCACATTTTTTTCTGAAAATCTAAAGTTATTCTAAAAAAAATTGTTCTTAAAATAGAGCTAAAAAATGAACTAATAAAGAAGGTACATCTACTACATATTTCAGGCACTTCGTGTTTTGGTATTTACTCAAGAAAAAGGAAATATATGGGCACGAAAAGATGCATAAGTGAATGTTCATAGCAGCTTTATCTGGAATAGCCCTTAAACTGGAAATAATCCAAATATCCATCAACAAATGACCAGATGTTTATATCCATATAATGGAATACTACTTGGCAATAAAAAGCATGAGCTAGTGTTACATCTAACAAGATGGATGAATCTCAAAATAATTGTGTTAGATGAAATAATCCAGACCAAAAAAGCACATACTGCATTATTATATTTATATAAAATTCTAGAAAATGCAAATCGATTTATAGTGACATATCAGTGTTGTGGAAGTAGGGGAGGGGGAGGGATTACAAAGGAGAAAGTTGTGGGTGATTTTTATGTTCATTATTTTGACAATGGTGATAGTCTCATAGGTATATACATATATTAGCCCCCACAGATTGTTTTAAATTGTGTGCTGTTTACGGTATGTCAATTGTACCCCCATTAAATTTGCTTATTTAGAACAATCCAGTCAGGCAGGCATACACAGGATAAGAGAGATAATTATCTTAGGCTCATTTAACTACTACCGTTGATCATTAAACATAGCTCTGAGCTTTTTTGGTAGTAGAAATTTTGCTACTATGCACCATTGTACCTACCACTTGTCCTCTGGGAATCAATTTCTTTTTTAAAGAAGAGTAACCCTTAAAGTCTTTTATAGGAAAGTACATTAAGAATAATTCTAAACACATATCTTCTAAAATAATTTAAAATGAATTCAGTTTCATTAATTTCATAAACCTTAACTTGAAATTGGCTAATAAAGTATTAATAATTAGGCAACTTAAACTTTAAATGGGAATTAATAGCTAAGAATTATTTATAAATAATATATTATTTTTCTGAACATCTGTTCTGAGCCAGACAATTGATTGGAATTTTTTAACATTATTGAGATATAATTCATATACAATTTATCCATTTAAACTGTACAATTCACGGTTTTTCACTATATTCACAGATATGTGCAACCATTGCCACAGTCAATCTTGTAACATTTGCATCACCTCAAAAAGAAGCTTCAGATTGCTTAATGGGTACAGGGTTTTGTTTTGGAACAAAACAAATTTTCTGGAACTAGATAGTGGTTGTAGTTGCACAACATTGTGAATGAACTAAATGTCACTAATTTGTACGCTTTAAAATAGTGCATTTTATGTTATATTGTTTCCACTTCGCTAAAAATAAGTAACCTATACACTTTAGGTATTTATCCCTATCCCTCCATCCCCACCAGCCCTAAGCAACCACTAACCTACTTTCTGTCTTTACAGATTTTCGTATTCTAGACATTTCATATAAATGAAAGCATATAATATGTAGTTTTTTTCCCCACTAGCTTCTTTCACTGAGTATGTTTTCAAGGTTCATCCATGTTGTAGTGCATATCAATACTTTACTCATTCCTTTTTATAGGTGAATAATATTTCTCTGTATGAATATACCACATTTTAATCATCCATTCATCAGTTGATAGACAATTAGGTTGTTTCTACATTTTGTCTGTTATGAATAATGCTGCAATGAATATTTGCATACAAGTTTTTGTGTGGATGTATGCTTTGATTTTTCTTGGTTATATACCTAGGATGGGAACTGCTAATAACTATACATTTAATGATTTGAGGAACTGCCAGACTGTGGCTGGCAGTGGATGCACTATTTTACACTCCCACCAGAAGTGTATGAGGCTTCTAATATCTCCACATCCTAGCTAACACTTGTTAAAATCTTTTTGATTATAGCCAGCCTAGTGAGTATAAAGTGTTATTCCAGAGTTTTAATTTGCATTTCCCTGATGACAAATGACTAATTCAGACACCTTTCATGTACTTTTATTCCTAGAAGTAAGTTCACTATTTTTCATAGGCTTTCAGAAGGTTAATGGATCCTTAAAGTTATGATCCTCTAGAATGGAGTTATTGGGTGCACACATGAAGACAAACTGTCATGGTAGTTTTAATAAATTATATTTAATCATAGAAAATAATATAATGTGTACTTGTTTCTTTTTCACTGCTATGTAATCAATAAAAGTGAAAGAATGCATTTTAACATGAGTTGCCCTCATGTTAAAAGACAATACTGGATTGTCTTCCACTAGAATATTCTTAATGGGGGTGGACGTAGAAGGGTTCCAACTCCTAAAGGGCAACCCCATAGCCTGAGTGGGCTATGAAAAATTACCTATCCTTTATATGTACAAATTATATTGTATTAAATAGGATTAGAAAACCAATATATGTCTATGTGCCAGGGAGGAATCTGCGACAGGAGAGTGAAAAGATGTCTAGGGTGGTGCCAAAGTGAAAGTCACTTTTAGGATGAGCAGTTGGTACTGGGAAAAATAAACACTATTCAACAAGAGTCAACAGTTGTTTTGGCAAGTAGCAGCTTACTACTGTCACTGTAGCTTTACACCTATGACATATGGAAGTTGTCTGTTCCTAGGGAGTAAATAAGCATTTGCCCAGTGGTCTGATGAGTAACCTACAGTTTAGATATTTGCTATGTCTGGATGGAGTAACAGTGGCCTAAGCTTTGGAAACTCAAAGGAATTTGCTTAAGCAGATTTGAGAAGGTCATTACACTTCATGATATATTCTTAGAACCTAAGAAAACCTCCTTATATTGGAAGCTTACACATTTTCATTTCTTAGAGCAGTCAGCTTCACTCTTCCCACCAGATCGGCTTTTAGAAAATGGAATGATTTGGAGTTGCAATTAAAGTCCAAGGCAGAAGCTCTTCTAGGATGTTCCATTGCTTGACCGCAAAGAGAGCAAAGAAAAATAAGTAATTCAAGTTCTGTACCTTATTTCACCTTCTCTAATGTGACCTGCCAGTTCTTCAATAAACTTCTCGCCTTTCATCCAGTAGATCATTGGTCCGGACTCTCCACTAAATCCAAAGAATGCTTTGCAAGGGATGCTCAGAGGCTTACCTGAGAATGACAGAGAAAAGGAATTGAATAAATGGCGCCTGGAAGACAGAAAAGGACTGTTTAACATCCAAAGGTAAGCTCCCATGACCCATTTTCAAACCTTCCAATCATCTTATCAGGGCACTTAAGAAAAAATTTAGTCACACGTGCTTCTGGGAAATTTAAAATTTAAGATATAATCAAAAATGAAAAAATACTGCCAGGAACTAACAGGAAGAAATCAAATGGAAAGAATTCTCCCCGGGCAGCCTGGGTGGCTCAGTGGTTTAGCACCGCCTTCAGTCCAGGGCGTGATCCTGGAGACCTGGGATGGAGTCCCACCTCAGGCTCCCTGCGTGGAGCCTGCTTCTCCCTCTGCCTGTGTCTCTGCCTCTCTCACTCTCTGTGTCTCTCATGAATAAGTAAATAAAATCTTTTAAAAAAGGAAAGAATTCTCCTTTACTTTTCTTTTTTGAGGGTATTAATTACTGCTTACTTGGATTTGGCTTTGAAGTTAACATTAATCAAAAGTATGTTATTTTTTATTGGTGAGAAAATAATAATAGACTATTCACTATTTTTAAGATTGCATAGGGAAGGGATCCCTGGGTGGCGCAGCGGTTTGGCGCCTCCCTTTGGCCCAGGGCGCGATCCTGGAGACCCGGGATCGAATCCCACGTCGGGCTCCCGGTGCATGGAGCCTGCTTCTCCCTCTGCCTGTGTCTCTGCCTCTCTCTCTCTCTCTGTGACTATCATAAATAAATAAATAAAAAACCTTTAAAAAAATTAAAAAAAAAGATTGCATAGGGAAATTTTTTATTCTGATAGTCATTCTAAGAAAAATTGTATAATGCAAATCAAAGGAAGAATTTTTTAATTAAAAATTTATAAAAAGTAAATGCAGGGAAACAGTCTAAACATGCCTTTTATATTCTTGGAGTTATTTATAGTATTTAAACAATTCTAGGCAATACTGAAGCATTTTTTATTATTCATCTTTGTGGTTATAGCTAAAAACTTTATTTTAATTACAAAGTTATCATCAAATATATATATGCCAGGGAATATATATGCATATATTGGATGGGACTTTTGAATTCACCAATATATGCATATATTTTGTTGACATTGATTTTATTTTCTTGCAAAGTAGATTAATAAGGGAATAATAGTATAAAAACAGTCTAGACAATTCTGACAAAGGAATCCCCAATTCATAAATCATAATGTAGCATACCATTTTCTCTCTAACATGCAATTTTTGCCCTCACTGGAGCACCAGATGAAGAAATTTCAAAAATCTTTTTTCCTTATATAGTACCTGGTGAATTTGTTCCCATAATCACACTAAGCTGTAGACAAATTCTCCATTCAATTCTTAAGTTGATCCAAAACTTCCGTGTTCTAAGAACCATTACTTTCTGGTTATTTAATCGACATAACTATCAGATGGATTTCTTTGAGGACCATTTTCATGAAGAAATAATTTTAATGGGAGTTAGGTTCTACATTAAGACAAAGTGGAAGTTAAAAGAACCTCATAGACATGTAGATGATGGATGATAGGCTGGACTTAGTCATAATAAGTGACATATATTGATCTTTCTACAGTGCAAATTTATATCGCATTAAAAATGACATGCTGTGGATCTTTGTGATCATTCAATTGTGTCAAAACCTTTGGTATCAATAGTCTGTAATATATGTCTAACACAAATCTGAAACAAGATTATTCATTGCTGCTTTGAACATATGCTCTGTGATATGTTTATGTAAGAATGAGAGATAGCCTGCTAGGGTGGAATGTGCACAGGAGATTTAGATCCTGGTTTTGGATTTATCATGAAAAAAGCTGTGGGCAGATTACCTAATTTTTTATAAAGTAACTTTTATACATGGAATAAACATGGTAATATTTGGGAAGCTCAGATAAAAACAGTGTTTACAAAAGTACTTGGTGAATTCAAAAGTCCCATCCAAAAAAAAAAACAAACAAAAACAAAACAAAAAACAAACAAACAAAAAAAAAACCCATACAGACAACAAAACAAAGCAAAAAAAAAAAAAAAAACCCAAACCCACAAAAATCCCAACCAAATTTAGGATGGTGGTATTCTCCTTCTGAAGCTTGGTCTTGAAGGAGCTAATTTTGAAGCATAATCTGATGTGGATAATAGGATAGATTAAGTGTTAATTTTGATTTTGCCAATTTCATGTTCTTTTTAAATTTATGAACTCCTATGTGGTAATAGCCTTCTCTTATCAATGCTCTATAAATATTTCCTGTATTCTAAAATACGTGTGATTTATCCAAGCAGGCACTGTGTTCTCCAAACCTGAACACAGCGTCTTTTCTATGCCTTACTGCTCTTCATTCCCATGAAATTGAAGGCAATAAGGGACATCAAACCATATGGTAGAAAATCCAGAGACTGTGATAAAGTTTATTATAAATAATCCCAGTTGCTAAAACTACCAGTATATACATCTATACACATAAATTCTGGTTGTCATTCTTTTGGACTATGTTGCAGAATATATCAAATAAAATGCCATTTAGTAATTCCTAGCATGTGGGTGTTAAGGTCTGGTTTGATTTTAATGGAGAAAGACAATTACAGCAATGTATAAAAAGGGACTTTCTTGAGGTGGTCTAACAAAAATGACAGATTCTGCCCTTTCTTTGGCACTATACAATTGGTACTGGCCATAGCAGCAATTTCTTTTGGAAATGTTTTCACACTCCCATCAGACATGTTCTTGTTAAATAAATGCAAGAGATAAATATTTCAGTGATATAATTTTAATGCAAATGTTGAATGAATATCATGAATATTCTTTTGTCAATGGCTAAAACAGGAAAACCATCTAACCACCATATGTAATACTCTGAAGAGAGCACTCTGAGGAGAGAGTATGCAATACTCTGATTAGCTTTTGTGTCAGATAGTGAGACTCAATGTGTGCAAGGGTATGGGCATCTCCTCTTCCAAAATGTGTGTGAGGGATCTCTGCATTGATTAAGCAAATAACCTGAAATGGAATCAATTCAGACCTTTCTAAAATATGGCTCATGTGCATGTGCTAACTCCCATCTACAGTTTGCATCTGTTTGCTACTGTATTGTCATGCCACTGGACATATTCAAAGTCATTCCCATGGTACTGTATACCCTACTAGTAGAGATGACCAGCTCAAATTTGTTTCTAAAGGAGATAGTAAAAAAATAATAAAGGGGATAGTACAGTAGACTGAAGACTATAAAAATAAGAACTTCAGTTTCTCAGTTTTTGTGCTATTCACAAAAGAACTGTGAATTCCTTTTATATAATAATCCTTTTATGATTACTCTGTATTACTAACAATTTATCACTTTCTTTTTTTCTTTTTTTTAATAAATTAATTTTTATTGGTGTTCAATTTACCAACATACAGAATAACACCCAGTGCTCATCCCGTCAAGTGTCCCCCTCCGTGCCCGTCACCCATTCACCCCCACCCCCCGCCCTCCTCCCCTTCCACCACCCCTAGTTCATTTCTCAGAGTTAGAAGTCTTTATGTTCTGTCTCCCTTTCTGATATTTCCCACACATTTCTTCTCCCTTCCCTTATATTCCCCTTCACTATTATTCATATTCCCCAAATGAATGAGAACATACACTGTTTGTCCTTCTCCGATTGACTTACTTCACTCAGCATAATACCCTCCAGTTCCATCCACGTTGAAGCAAATGGTGGGTATTTGTCGTTTCTAATGGCTGAGTAATATTCCATTGTATACATAAACCACATCTTCTTTATCCATTCATCTTTCGATGCGCACCGAGGCTCCTTCCACAGTTTGGCTATTGTGGACATGGCTGCTAGAAACATCGGGGTGCAGGTGTCCCGGCGTTTCATTGCATCTGAATCTTTGGGGTAAATCCCTAACAGTGCAATTGCTGGGTCGTAGGGCAGGTCTATTTTTAATTCTTTGAGGAACCTCCACACAGTTTTCCAGAGTGGCTGCACCAGTTCACATTCCCACCAACAGTGTAAGAGGGTTCCCTTTTCTCCGCATCCTCTCCAACATTTGTTGTTTCCTGCCTTGTTAATTTTCCCCATTCTCACTAGTGTGAGGTGGTATCTCATTGTGGTTTTGATTTGTATTTCCCTGATGGCAAGTGATGCAGAGCATTTTCTCATGTCCATGTTGGCCATGTCTATGTCTTCCTCTGTGAGATTTCTCTTCATGTCTTTTGCCCATTTCATGATTGGATTGTTTGTTTCTTTGGTGTTGAGTTTAATAAGTTCTTTATAGATTTTGGAAACTAGCCCTTTATCTGATATGTTATTTGCAAATATCTTCTCCCATTCTGTAGGTTGTCTTTGAGTTTTGTTGACTGTATCCTTTGCTGTGCAAAAGCTTCTTATCTTGATGAAGTCCCAGTAGTTCATTGGGACTAGTTCAATGGTCTAGTTTCATTCTTCTGCATGTGGCTGTCAAATTTTCCCAGCACCATTGATTGAAGAGACTGTCCTTTTTCCAGTGGATAGTCTTTCCTGAATTGTCAAATATTAGTTGACCATAGAGTTCAGGGGCCATTTCTGGATTCTCTATTCTGTTCCATTGATCTATGTGTCTGTTTTTGTGCCAGTACCATACTGTGTTGATGATCACAGATTGTAGTACAACTTGAAACCTGGCATTGTGATGCCCCCGGCTCTGTTTTTGTTTTTGTTTTAGTTTTTGTTTTAATATTCCCCTGGGTACTCGGGGTCTCTTCTGATTCCACACTAATCTTAAGATGATTTGTTCCAACCGTCTGAAAAAAGTCCATGGTATTTTGACAGGGATTGCATTAAATGTGTACATTGCCCTGGGTAGCATTGACATTTTCATAGTATTAATTCTTCCAATCCATGAGCATGGAATATTTTTCCATCTCTTTGTGTCTTCCTCAATTTCTTTCAGAAGTGTTCTGTAGTTTTTAGGGTATAAATCCTTGACCTCTTTGGTTAGGTTTATTCCTAGGTATCTTC